TAGGAACCTCGCGCCTACGGCGCTCGAGGTCCCCTCAAGCAGTCGGGAAGAACCCCCCCCCCCCATTCAAAATCCTGGCTACGGGCATGTACCCTGACATCTACTTTTTCTAGGCCTAGGAAAATTATTTGTGTTTCCTATTTGTGTAGGGATTTTCTTTTACAAATTTTTTAAATACATTTAGATTTTTAACTAAAATGATCAAACAAATAAAATTTAACAAAAAAATACAGGACTGTCTCAAGGACCCGTCTATCTGTCTGCTGCTAGGGTCGTTTTTTTGTTAGGGTCGATTGGGAAACTGGAATTTTTTTTCCTAGGCCTTATACATAAAACTACATCATAGTACATGTGCATACTAGGTGATTAATTAATAAAGGATTTAATTACTTGTCAGTTCGCAAATCCACCGCTAACTTCATTGTGGGACTGATGTAGTAAAAGTAATATCTCCCCCATTCTGTAATATTAATGAAGCTATAGACTTTCCTGATATAAGCCAATTAGTGTGAGTTTCCCCTTGGGGTTTCATGCAAAAATCTGTGCAGTTTTCCCTCAGGATAACATTATGATGTGGGATTGCCGTATTCCCACGGGGGTTAAGGTCACACCAATTTAATTTCTTGGTTAACAGATTCGTCGGCTTAATTTTTTTCTGATTTCAGAAAAAAAAATCAGAATCAACTGCAAAATGCTCATATTTTGCCCTGAACAGTTGAAAACAGTCCTTTTCTTCCTATTTGTTACAGTTATTCCATATTTCAATGCAATGGTATCATTAAAAGTTCAAAATTCATTGTTAAAATTTTTAACCAGCCTGGTGTGTTGACTTCATGGCTCCTATCGTACCATTTTGGGCCATAATAGGATGCCTAGGCCTGTTTTTATTTTTTTCGCCCGCCCGCTCCATTATTTTTCTAGAAAACTCCGGTAACCAAGAAATTAAATTGGTGTGGCCTTAGGATAACATTATGATGTGGGATTCCCATATTCCTATGGGGTTTAAGATTATATCCCACCCTGTCACTCTGATGCTTTTATCTAATATTGATGTGCTTTTATCTGTGGCAGATACAGTGACATGAGGGTCCCTATGGGGTTTGAGATCCTCTCCATGTGGCAGAGTCTAGGTGAGTCATTGGGATCAGTTTTCCCCTGAGAGCTCCTCTGGATGATGTCATGTTTGCTACAGTCGACCTGTACCATATAATACTGTGGTGGCATAGTCTGGGCACCAGGTTTACTAGCTCTTATTAGCTCTTAATTTTTATCTGATTATTGTGGCATTTTTGTTTGGCTTCGATTAGCTATGTTAGAATTGATGAATGAATTGTCAAATCTGTGTATTGTCCAGAACTCATCCATTGTCTATTTGTAATGAAACAATGGCAGGTATACGTGTACATTTTGTATGTTTTGTGTGTGTACATTTTCTACATGTTTTGCTAAACTTGAAGTCAGTGCTTGAATATGATTCTCTTTTCCCCATGTTTGGTGTCTATTGTAATAAGTGTAACAGTGTAACAATGAGGTTTTAAGTGCTACCAACTGACTCATCTGAAAAGGTCTGGACCTCTTGGACTGAGTAGATACATTGTTTACAGTAGTGTTCCACTGATACACTACTCCCCCATTTCTTTTTAGCTTCATCCTCGAATTCTCTGAGTTTGATGTCCCTGTGAAGCACAGTTTGCCATTACTCACAGTGCTGATGTGGGAACCACTGAAACAAGGAGCGAGTGGAAAGAGGAAAACCCCTGGCTCCCGGGACGCTGGGAATCAAACCTGTGTTGGTCCCTGGCAGCCACCTTACTAGTCGCTAAGCCGGACCTGTCAGACGAGTCAGTTGGTAGCACTTGAAACCTCACTGTTACACTGGCATGATGGTGAAGACTCTAGTAGCCTGGTACCCAGTCTATCGTGGTTAGGGCAGGCTGTCTTCGGGGCTCTAAGTTTTCCCCTGTCCAGCTCAACAGACTGGTAGGAGTGTTACGCCTGTGATAGAGTTTTGTATGTCTGGAGTTGATTAGTCCCACCATCGCGGTGTGGCTAATTGGACTCCTGTTGTACAAAACCTACTTGGAATTAGTGCTGTGTACGTAAACCCAAATTTAGGTTCAGGTCCGGATTCAAGTCCCGAGGTTTAGGTTCAGGTCCGGACTCGTAAGTCCGGACCTAAACCCATGGCATATACGAAATTGCATGTTGGCAACCTTTCAATGTTGTTTGGAGAAAACTGTGGCCATGTAACATGGAGGCAGACACTTGGTGATGCCCAATACCAATTTTTTCTTCATGTTGCAGCATAAATTTTGCAATCTATGGAGGGTTTTAAGTGGTTTTGAAGGAAAAGGGGTATGTGACATTTGAGATTTTTGGACTTGAACCTAAACATTTTTACAAGTCCAGAACTGGTCCAGAGAACTGGTACACAGCACTAGGTTAGACTCAAGATAAAACTGTTGTTTCTTCACAGGAGAACACAAGTTGAACTTCCTGCCTGGCATGGTGGGGTCGTTCCTGGAGATCTCCCTGGTGCCTGAGACAGAGCTGAGGAAGGCTCTCATCCCGGTGTTCCACGACATGATGGAGTGTGAGCAGGCAACCAGGGGCAGCTTCAAGGAGGTGGGAACATTCTACAATATCCAGCAGCTTACATAGTGCATAATATGTGTGTGCAAATTTTGAAATCATCATTTTTACTAAATAAAGACTCTTTTTACACAACTAAGAGGTTTCCCACCAACATTTCGGTGACTGTCTCAGGGCAAATCTGACTAGTTCACATGTAACTGTGTATATAAGTAGAAACTTTATGTCATCTATAGCAGTTACACCTGTACTGTGCAATGTGAAGCAGTCAGAATTGCCCTGAGGAAATTGAAGACAGTTACTGAAATGTCGGCTGAATAAAGTCTGATTCCAGTTTGCAAACTGTAACATGTCTCTGTCCTTGGTGCTGAAAAAGCAATTACTGACTAACTTCACAGCTAAGTCAATATTACACAAAATTTCAGTGTCTGGTTTGAATAAAACATGTGGTTGTGTAAAAAGAGTCTCTTTAGTCAGCTTTGATTCCAGTTTACAAACTATAACATGGCTCTGTCCTTGGTGCTGAAAAAGCAGCTACTGACAGACTTCAGGTCAAATATTGCACACTCTTTATTCAGTGACTTAGAAACCTGATGAAACTATTAAAGGACATGATTCTAATTTGTACAGTCACTGTGGTGCTTTTCATAGCCTGACTACATCATGTTTCTACTAGAGCAGGCCCTTCCACCAGTCAGGCTTAGTCAGCCGCTGACAGCGAGAGAATGTGTAACACACTTAGTCATGGATTTTGATAATTACCTCTTGAATACTGAATGTGATGTTCTATCTGTTGTTTCCATGGTTACAGGTGGAGTGTGAGATGATTGACAAGTTGGAGACTGTGTGATGTTCTATCTGTTGTTTCCATGGTTACAGGTGGAGTGTGAGATGATTGACAAGTTGGAGACTGAGTGTGATGTTCTATCTGTGGTTTCCATGGTTACAGGTGGAGTGTGAGATGATTGACAAGTTGGAGACTGTGTGATGTTCTATCTGTTGTTTCCATGGTTACAGGTGGAGTGTGAGATGATTGACAAGTTGGATACTGAGTGTGATGTTCTATCTGTTGTTTCCATGGTTACAGGTGGAGTGTGAGATGATTGACAAGTTGGAGACTGAGTGTGATGTTCTATCTGTTGTTTCCATGGTTACAGGTGGAGTGTGAGATGATTGACAAGTTGGACATCCTGATCAGTCAGGACAAGGGAGATGATGAGTACAGAGAACTCTTCCACTCCATGTGAGTCATACATAGGCTTGGATTTTGTGTGTAGGAGATTCAAAATATAGAATCCGACATGAAACACATATAGCCGTGTTCTAACCAGCGTCTATCTTGCCAACATTTGACGGAATTTGCCGCTCATGATGGCCAAAAATTTTGCTCGATCCGTCATGATGGACAAAATTGGTGTGTAAATATATGGAAAGAAACGTTAAGAGATTTTGTCTTCATAATGTGTTTTTCAATGACATAACTCCCTCACTACATACATATTGCTTTCCAAAAGCAATGTGTGTTTTTTGCATCTTTACCTATTATTTTTTATCTACTTCAGTTTGCTGGACCGTGTGCAAGTAGAGAGTGCAGAGTGGCAGGAAACAGCAGGATCTTTTGTCAACTCCATGACTAGACTATTGGAGAGGTTGTTAGATTACAGGTCTGTTACTCTTAACTTTTTCTTACCAATGTCTTACATTCCCGACATTCATTGATTCTTGCCAGCATTTAGAAAGAGGGACTTACTGCTAGTTTGGTCTATATATTACAGGCAGTATCAGTGTCACAGTTTTTGGTAAATGATAATAAATATTTCTGCTGTCCGCTGTACTTAGTACGTATTTTGTTCCTTTCAGACATGTGATGAAGGGCAGTGAAAACAGGGACAAGAGGATGGGATGTACTGTCAGCCTGCTGGTGAGTCATTTTTGTCTGCCACCCAGTGTGATGTTTCAAAATATATTACCTGAAATACAGCTGAGTCTGTGTAGTGAGTTCACATTGTGGCTGTTGTGGTGCATGATACTGCCCAGGTCACATGTTTCTGTTCAAAGGCACCCAAAGCAATTTCAAGGCAGTAAAACTGATTTTGAATCAACCTCATCCCATATACATGTAGCATACTGATATGTGTGAGGCAAAAATGCATTGCTGCTGACAGAAAACAGTTGCTAAACACGATAACTCAAGAAGGCTATGATGTCTTGATATTTGGTAGGTAGGTAGTTTTTTATGAGACCTCAAAATCATTACTTATCTAGACTACATTTTGAGCCCCCTGGCAGCTTGTTATGGTACTGCTGCTGAACGTCTGGGTTTTGATATCTCATGATCTGAATTTTTACTACACAACAGCACTTCTACCACAACGACATCCAGCGTGAGGAGATGTACATCCGCTACATCTACAAGCTCCACTAATTTTTCTCCTGCAATATTGTTTAGTGTCTCAGTCTGCAAAAGAAAACACAGACCGTAGGTGGGTTTTTCTCACACTGCCATTTCCTTCACAACAGCACTTCTACCACAACGACATCCAGCGTGAGGAGATGTACATCCGCTACATCTACAAGCTCCACGACATGCACAGGGAGGCGGAGAACTACACGGAGGCGGGTTTCACCCTGCTGCTGCACGCAGGCATGCTGGGCTGGACGGGTCTCATGCTGCCGGAGGACGAGTGGTACCCACGCCAACAGGAGAGGGAGAGGAAGGAGAAAATCTATGTCACTGTTATAGAGTACTTCGACAAGGGGAAGGTGAGGGCAGTTTTATCATAGTACTGTAAATAAGTCTTAATGTTGGCGTTAATGAAAGTTTGTTGTCTGAGAAAAATTGACATACTTATGGAACCATATGTTTGCAGGGGCAGCATATAAAGAGTTGGCAAATTATTTGTTCACCGTAATAAGTTTGCAGTACAGCAGTGACTGCAAAACTGCAAACTTAAAGTAGTGCAAAAAAATCATGATTTACATACATGTACTAGTACGTGTCAGCAGAATGTACTACACATATGCCTGCAAAACCCAGATTTTTCACATTTTTTCAGAATTCAGCCAGTTGCAGAAGATATCTTTTCTGACACAACACTAAAGGATTTTATCCTTAAATATGTGAATATGACCTTACACACAAGATGTTCTGCCGAAGTGTTATTCATGCATTTTGCACAGGCACGGTACGTTCTAGGAAAAATCTCTCTGCAACAATGCAAGCATAAATTTTAAAGCAATTCTAGCTGACATCTTGTAAACTTCATCAAGTATTCATTTTTTTTCTTTCTTCCATTCAGAGCTGGGAGAATGGCATCCCCCTGTGTAAAGAGTTAGCAGAGCAGTATGAGAAAAAATCTTTTGAGTATGCCAAACTCAGCCACATACTGGTGAGTACCTCAGTGTACATTTACAAATGTATTTACAGTCAAACCTGTCCGTCCAACCAACTGTTTAGGGCAACCAACTGTTATCAACAACCACATTCAAACAGTCCCGTCCCATTTTACATAGTAAGGACCCCCTTCCAGGCAACCAACTGTACAACGCAACCAGCGGCCACTTTCTTGTGGTCCCTACGGGGCACGGACACCCTACTCAACAACCAGATGATGGCATAAGGACAAGCGATCTAGATCTTGGTGCGTCGGCACAACGCACATGTGGAGTTTGGAACGACACGTCCAGAGTAATATTATGCTTCAATAAAAGAAACTGATAATTGTACAAATATAGTTTTACTAATATAATTTCGAAAACAAATCGAGATTAGATCATGCTGCATGCTCCTGCACTGACCGACAAAAAATCTAGCGGGCCCGATTCTCTCACGCCGTCTGCACACACACGTACCGCGCTTGCGACAAGAATAACACATTGTAATTTGAGAAAGCATACGGTTAAAACATGGGAATATTGTGCATATCCACAAATATTTCCATAGAAAACACAATCGCTGGAATCTAAAATGTTGTCCTGGGTTTTATTTAGCGGGCGTTTTGTTTCTTGTTTTGACGGCGCGCGAAAACCACGCTGATCTCTACACACTGCCGGCGCCTAGTTCCGGCGGATTGAAGACCCAAATCGCGTCAAACACACCATAAAATCACATACACACAGATATTTTTCCCCAAACTATTCTTTGAATTCGTTGTATGGTCGTGGAATTCCATGAAAAGCAGCGTTTTTTATGCTTAGAAGTGTTTTTTCCTCGGCATTTCTGTTTCAAGATGGCGGCCGCGCTTGGGTCACCCCGCGGGTCATCGGAAGGTTCCATTTCTAAAGGGTTGCTGATTACTTTACTCAATTTATTTTTGACACGTGCGGTCAGCGCACGCAAATCAAATATAAATTAACTAAATTTTATATCTATCTAGAGTTATAATTGCTTACAAAGGCCTTTATAAACTTGAAATTTCGTTATGTATTTTTTGCTGCATTTTCATTGTTCCCCTTCACAGTGGATTGGTTGTTGTTGTTTTCCAAGCCAGCGCCATCTTTGTTCTCCATTTTGTGATCGCGAACGAAGTTTTCCGTCAAATTTCTTAGCCCAAAATGACCTTTTAGGAATTTTTGAAGTCACATTAAGTTGACTGCTGTAATGTTGCGCCAGTATTGAGTAGTCTGCAAAAGTTGCCGACACAGAACCTGTAATTGCGGCAAGAAAATATCAACGCGGCGTCGGTATGTCCTTGGCCAAAAACAATGGAGGACTTCTAGAGATAGCCAAGTACACATGATGTATTTTGTCATACTTCTTGTCGCTATTTTCCACTTTTTTGCCTCAAATTCTACGATATGAAGTATAATTTGCATCAGTCACATGGTTGTAAATTTAGAAGACTGAACTGAGAAATTGTGTAATCACTTTGACTTCAAAGTCATGTGTGTGTGATGTCAATAAAATCTCACCATTAAATTTAAATTGTACTCTGTATTTTCTTTTTTGCTTATTATTTGTAAGTAAGAGCCTACCCTGCCAAGATATCAACCAGAACCCCCCCCCCCAACTGGACCATCCAACCACTCCCAGTCAACAACCATTTTTCCTTGGTCCCTTGAGTGGTTGTTGGATACAGGTTTGACTGTATCTATCAGAAGATTCAACACATTTGTGGAAGGATTGACAACAGATAACTATCACCTCTTCATGATGTCAAACCTGAGACCAGACTGTCAGGTTTGAACCACTCACACCAGGAAGGGCCCCTACTTTTTTGACAAGTTTGGTGCAATCTTTAATGTAAGGGTGGTGGGATCTTTAATGTGCTTAAGGTTGACTGTGTGGATCTCCTTAAACATGGGACCTCTGGCTTCATGTCCTATCCAATAGGACATCCCTAACCAAGGCTAGGTACTTTTAACCTGATGAGTCAAGTGAGGAAAGTCGTGTAAAGTGCCTTTCCCAAGGACACAACAATGGGGCTTGACAGGGATTCGAACCCAGAACCTTTGGATTCTGAGTCAACAACAATATCATTTTTTGGCTCTCGGATTTGCCTCTTCATTTCTGGTTCTGAATCAACTCAAAAATGCTCATATTTTTCCCCTTTAGTTGAGGAAAGTCCTTTTCTTCCTAGTTGTTACAGTTTTTTTCATCTATCTATCTATCAATGCAGTGGTTTGATTAAAAGTTCAAAATTCATTGTTGAAATATTAACCCAGCCTTTTGTGTTGACTTCATGGCTCCTATCATAGCACTTTGTAATAGGATGCCTAGACCTGTTTTTATTTCATTTTTTTTCGCCCTGTTGCTCCATATTTTTTCTGAAAAAAAATCCGAGAACGAACAAATTAAATTTGTGTGGCCTAATATGTACATTTTGACTCTACAATATATTTCTCCACAGCAAACCCAGGCCCACTTCTTTGAGAACATCCTGACTGAACTCAGACCAGAACGACCCTTCTACAGAGTGGGGTACTATGGGAAGAAGTTCCCTTTCTTTCTCAGGGTAAGTTTAGTAGTAGTACATGGTTGTTGTGTATACAAAAGTATGTAAACTGTACATTGTATATATAGTTTAAATGCAAAGTAAAGCTGATCTGGAGTAGTAATGGATATGAGTAATGGATTGCAATTTTGACTTGTTTTCTTTGGCTTTCTTGTATGTTTTTATGTAACACGTGTGTTTGTTTATTTAAATATACTTTCCGTTACTTGTGTTACTTATATGTCTCAAATCTCTGTAACTTAATGATTGTTAAAAGTTTGTCACAACTTGGCACAACTTTATTTTCTTTGTTATATTGATGACTGTAATGTTTTAGGTTTTAAAAGAAATATAATAATCATAATCAGTTTGTCAGAATTGAATGGGCCATCCAGCCATATGAAATTCAGTAAATATGATAAATAAGGATAAATAGAAATACTGTTGATGGTTACCATCCATAACTAGCTTTACCTTTCTGAATAAGATACTGTAACAAGAATCATAAACAAAATGTTTTGTATCTCTTATCATTTATTGAACCCACAGCACAAAAAGACAGGAATGATATTCAAAGAACATTGACAAGTCTTTGTACAAAGATGAAAGGTCATTGCTTATTACTGTATTATGTTGTACTTGACAATAACTTCAAGTACAATCAACAATCAACCTGATAGTAATGGGCTGATAAAGTTATGCACAAATTTGGGTTGATAAAGTTTTGCACAAATTTGCAATGGTACTCATTACAAAATAGTTTTGTATAGCATGTTGACAAAATGAAAACAGGCACAAATGTGTATTTTGTCCAACTCTCACATGTCTTACATATATAAACCACAGCACAGCAAGTTAGATTAAGTATTTCTAGAACCAAGCAGCCAAGCATCAAATACAAAAAGGCCACAGCAAACTGATCTATAATACAAATAGCAGCACAGCGTGGTGAAAACAAACATTTTTGATACAACTTACTGCATGAATTGAAAAAAATGACCAGAAGATGGACATTGAAATTTCAGTTTCGCCACCCAGAAATTGTATTGGATGCCTTTAAGGGGCAACAGCAGTTCCTATAATCATACAGTTATTAACCCTGATTATCATATAGCCGGGTGACGTTGACCGATCAGAAGGCTCCATTCCACATTCCTTATGACGCCGTAATGTCACAAATATAGTCAAAACCAGGTCATTATTCATCCCAATCCATACATTAAACAACCCAATAATCACCCGCATATGACCTCTGGTGACCCAAGTAGAACACGGCTCTGTTACGAAAAATCCGAAAATAACTTGTTGTGTTCCAATGACATCGGGTGACTCCCATAAGAACACCTGTTCCCTGAAAAACCTTGTTCGCTGCGCTCACTCGGTGGCTTCATTCAGTGGTTATACCAACTGACAAGGCTTTCTCACACCATATTCACCTCGGGGCGGGTCATTAACCCTTAATTGTTGTCCCCCTACAGAATAAGACGTTTGTGTACCAAGGCCAGCCGTATGAGAAGATACAGGACTTCAGTCAGCGGCTGCAGACAGAGTTTCCCAACGCTTCCTTCATGACTCACAACCTGCCACTGGACGATGAAGTCATCAACTCAGATGTGGAATGTATCCTTTAGTCTAGACCTTATTCTTCAATCTAGATCAGACCAGGGCTCTAGCCAGTCAAAATTGTTTTTCTGTCAGCCCAGGTTCATTCTAGGACTTGGGGAGAGAGTGCTCTCAATCTATGGGGGTCCGTTTAGGATTTTCAAGCTTTAAAAACGCAAATTCCTACATTTTAGAGAGGCAAATCTTGGGGTTGTGAGTGGTTGTTGTTGGTCCTTTGGATGTAATTTTTTTACCCAAGATTTTGTCAATTTTGTCTGTCATAGTTGGCGGATTGGTTTAAAAATTTTTCCGTCACACGTCACAAAGCTCTGGCAATTGGCGGAAAAACGGCTGCCGACAAGAGTCTTGGATGAGACACTACATGAATTTCGTTCTGAAATCATTTTTTTCTCGGTATAGAAAAGCCTGTAGAATGCCCCCTAGTCTTGCCTTTTCCTCTTTAACTCCAACAGATTAAGAAATCTACATTCTATCAGATGTAAATTAGATCATTTTTTCCTAGAACTATCGTAGCGTGAAACTCGTTGTCACCAAGTACAGTAGGGGGATCATCACTAGATAGCCAAAAAAATGAAAATGAAAAAAATGTTTTGAGTTAAATATGCAAAGGTCCGGTGCAACAGGTCTTTCAGTGTATTATAGCCAGCTGCAATTGCATACCTGGTGTGTTACTGGTGTGTTACACTGAAGGGCAGTTATACCAGCTATACAGATACAGACTAGATGTTTGTTATGTTGCCTTAACCTGTACCACAGATATCCAGATTTGTAAGGCAACTCCTGTACCTAAGGACTCAGAGATCCTCCATGATCAGACAGTGCCAGAAAAGATCGCTTCCTACTACAGAGCCAACAACATAGACACTTTTGTGTTTGACAGACCTGTCCACAAGGGCGCAAAGGATGAAAATCTCTTCAAGGTAAACACTACATGTCAAAAATACTCTGTAAATAATTTCATTAGGTTGGTAAATGATTGTATAGTGAAGTTCTTTTTTTCACAACCGTCTGTCATCTTTAGGGCTAATACGACTTGTTTTACGCTTGAGGCTACATTGTTATAGTGGCACCTAGCTTCAGTGCACAGTGAACCAGTACCACCTAGCTTCAGTGCACAGTGAACCAGTAACACCTAGCTTCAGTGCACAGTGAACCAGTAACACCTAGCTTCAGTACACAGTGAACCAGTAACACCTTTAGTGCATTATGCACCAAGTAACACCTAGCTCCAGTGCACTATGAACTATGTAACACCTTTAGTGCATTATGCACCAAGTAACATCTAGCTCCAGTGCACAGTAAACTAGTGATATTAGCCCTTATGAAGGTGACAGACGGTCATCAAAACATTGGCTCACGTAAATCAAAATTAAATGGTTGTGAATGTCAATAAAAGAACTTTGCTATTCAGTCAAAAATACTGTTTGTCAGATATGCTTACAGTAAGTGCCAACAATTGCTCAATATGGTCTTTTCAATGAATTTTGAAGAGATGAACTGTAATTTTTTATGTCTTGAACATGTTTGAATGTACATGTTATTGTTGACCATAGAACATGTGGTTGGAGAGAACCATCATGGTCACCACCAGCACACTACCTGGCATCCTCAAGTGGTTTGAAGTCAAGTCTGTTCAAGTGGTATGTACATTTTTACACCTTTTTTTCCTCCCTTTTTTCCACTGTTTCACTGCACTCTTCAGAAAATGTTCAAAATACCTGTACGCTATGTTCTATCTCTAAGCAATTTTCAAAAGTCAAAAATGGTAAGAAACACTACTTTTACAAATCCTAAGCTCTGGTTAGTCCTTAACTAGAAATCATGCTGGATATATTTTTTAGGAAAACAACAAGTTCTATTGGTAGCAAAATGCAGGAATCAAAAGGAGTTACTCTTTCAACTTCTTGGCCAGTTGATGCCACTTGTTGCCTTCGTTGTGGTCCCCCAGTTCGTCGTATGCTAGACCCATCCTGTTGTACGCCACTGCAAGCTTCCCGTTGTCTTTCATTTCTTCTGCCAGGTCCCTTAGCTCCACATAATAGTCCAGCGCCCTCTGTGGTTTCTTACACTTGTCCAGGTGCAGGTCTCCAAGCTTGAGAATGATGTCCCGTTGCTGCTGCTTATCTTCTAGCTCCTTCGCGAAGGCCAGGGCTGTGGCGTACAGCGTGGCGGCTTGTTCGTACTTCCCCCAGGACGTGTAAGAGTCGGCCATGTTCTGTTGACCGATCATCTGCCCCTCCTTGTCCTCCTGCCCCTGTTTGATGATGAGGTGTTTCTGGTGTAGCTCTACTGCCTGCTCGTATTCCCCCACCGCGTGGTACACCAGCCCCATCTTGCTAAACGCGAGCGCGATGTCGTCCTTCAAATCCAGCTCTTCGGCCATGCCTAACATCTGCTGGTAGAACTTCATCGCCTTCTTCTGTTCCTTGAACTCCTCTCGGTACAAGTCTCCCAAGTGCATGGCGAGGGAGCACTGTCGTTCCCTGTTCCCAGTCTCCACGGCGTGTGCCATGGCCGCGGTGTAGTGGAACTTGGCCTTCTTGGGGTTCCCGAGCTTCTTGATGGAAGCAGCGAGGTTCATCTGAGCCGCGACCTGCTTCAGCTTGTCTCCCATCTCCTCTCGGAGTTGAAGATTCTTCTCCTGCCAGTCGACGGCGTCCTCGTACTTACCCATCATGCCGTGGGTCAGGCCGAGCCGGTTGTACGCGAGCGCCACCTTCTCCTTGTCTTGTGTCTCTTCTGCGAGAGCCAGCATCTGTTTGTAGTACTCTACAGCTTTCTGCGGGTTGCCCACCCCTTCCCTGTGCAGGTCTCCCAGCCGGCTGCAGGCCAGGGCCATCTTCGCAGGATCCTTTAGCTCCTCAGACACTACAAGAACCCTCTCGTAGTACTTGATAGCCACCTCTGGATCATTGAGCACCTCTCTGTAGAGATCTCCCAGCCTACTGTAGGCCACCACTGCCTTGTTTTTGTCATTGACCTCTTCCGACACTGTCAGCATCTCCTTGTAGTATTTTGCGGCCGTGTTTGGGTCTGCTATCTTGTCCCGGTACAGATCACCCAGCCGTGTGTAGGAGAGCAGTATTCCTGCCTTGTCTTGTACCTCCTCCATTAACTTTAACAACTGTGCGTATCGCTTTGCTGCGCCTTGCGGATCATTCAGGTCGTCTCTTAGGAGGTCTCCTAGCAACAAGAGCAGCTGTTTTGTCTGCCCCTTGTTGCCGAGGTCGTCGGCTAGCGCCATCGCGGATTCATAGTGCTGCTTCGTGTCTGCAAACTTCTCCAGGGCCATGCTGGCCTTGGCGATGCTCTTGTGCGCTGCAATCTGCCCCTCCTTGTTTCCGATGTTCCTCCAAGTACGCAGAGTTTTCTGGTACCAGTCTATGGCCGACTGGTGGTCCCCCGTCTCGTCGTTTGCCATTCCCACAAGTCTGTAGGCTGTGGCGACCTTTTCTTTGTCCTGCATCTCTTCGGCAAGCGTTAGCAGCTGTGTGTAGTACCAGAGCGCCGTGTGTGGATCCCCCATCTGCCCCTGGTGCAGTTCTCCCAGCTCAAGAGTTGTCATCCATTGTAGCAGCATACTACTGGACTTAGCAGATAGGCCATTGGCAGATTCATAGTTGGACTTGGCATGGTCGTAGTTTCCCAAGATTTTGTATGTCAGAGCGGCATTCCTGTACGCAATGCACTTGGCCATGGCGTTATCGTCCTCTTCCTCTTCTTGGTTTCTCCGTATCCTCAGGTCCTTCTGGTGCCAGAGTAAAGCGGTGACGTGCTCTCCCATCGCTCCGTACACCGTCCCGATCCTGTTGTAGGAGAGAGCCATGTTTTCCTCGTCATTTGTCTTCTCTGCGTAGTGCAGCATGTGTTTGTAATACTTCAGCGCAGCTTTCCTGTCCTTGGCTTCCATCATCTGCATGTCTCCCATGACGTTACAGGCTTGTATCATCGCCTTTCTGTCATTCAGTTCCTCTCCCAGTTTCAGCTCCTGGGTGTAGTACTTAAAGGCTGTTTTGGAGTCCCCTAGCTTCTTGTGGTACATCCCGGCAAGCGTCTGGGCTAGCTCCAGCTGCCGTTGCTTGTCGTTCTTCTCCTTCGCCAGCTCCATTACGGACTCGTAGTGCGTCACGGCCTCGGCGACATTTCCCGTGTTCATCAGCGAGGACGCCATGTTGGCGTGGCAGGCGGCGATTCCGTCCTTGTTCCCCGCCGCCTTCTCGATCTCCATCATCCTCTCGTGGTTCCACATGGCCTCCTTGTGTTTCCCCGACACGTCCAGCGCCACCGCCATCTTGTTGTACGTGGCGGCCTCCTTGTTCTTGTCGTGCAGGGCCTGGGCCGAGGTCAGCATCTCTTCGTAGTACATGACGGCCTTGTTTGGCTTCTGTAGCGTGTGCCAGTACAGGTCTCCAATCTTGCAGTTGATGTCAAACTGTAAGGAACTGTTGCCGGACTCCTCGGCGGCAGACAGCTCGGTTTGTAGATCATCAATCTTAGACTGGGCGTCTTGGATCTCATCTGGAGAAAGCAAGAAGGAAAAGGATAAAAGATGATTCTGAATCAGTCGTCAAACCATATCTAATATGTCCAAGAGGATTTGAGTGATACATGTGGATTAGTGGAATGACCTCAGGATGTCTTTATACCACAGTCATACATAGCTAATGTTATCCTGCTTAATTTTTACCCAAGATTTTTGTCAATTTTGTCCATCAAGATTTTTGTAGAATTTGTTGAAAAGAAGAAAGAAAATAGACAAGACAAGAAGTCTGATAAAATTGTCAACATTTGTGCATCTGAAGGTTGCATGTAATCCAGTACTTAGTCATTATTCGTTATTGTATAATTATATAAAATTGCAGAGACAATGCTTTGTAAGATAATACTTGTGGATAGCATCCAGTGAAGAGCAATCTACCATGATGACAGTGTCTATTTGTTTCAAACAAAAGCCTCTGTAGTTTAGTCCAAAATAGCCTGATGGCCCGAGTGTATGGTTTAGATTTCCGTGGGACATCCCAGTAGAAACAGTACCACCTGTTAGATGTCAGGTGATACAGAGTAGCTCTCCACTAATCCTAGATCACGTTACTCCTGTCTTCTTTGTCAGAAGGTAAGACAATTAAGCTAGGCCTGATTGTAGGCCACAACAATTTAAGTAATTGGTTCTCGGATTCTCTTACTTCATTTCTGTTGCATGGTTGCTTGTTCTATTTGTCCTGTCTTATCATCATTAGGATATGCACTTTATTTTGCAGTACATGTTGACTGAACTTTTACAAATAAAAGTCTATACATGTATTTGCAGTTTTCTCAGTCACCTCTGTTCCGCCAACTTATCATTATCGTTAACAAGTAATTTGCCGATTATCTTTTTCCTGCACCTGCTGCCACAGTGAACATATAATGGGGGCCCGCAAGCCCTTTTCCGTAGAGCGTAATCGGCCGTTTAAATTCTACGTAGAGCGTAGACGGACCGCGCGTAGACGGACCGCTCTAATATTTTTGCGTAGAGCGTATTTGGCATTTTAATTCTACGTAATGCGTTGTAGCCACTTGGAATTTATCGTAAAGCGTAATCGAGAGGTTTCCGAATTCAGCGTAGAGTGTTGTCGGGACCCCCCCCCCTTGCAGGCCCTCTATAATGTCATGAACACCTTCATTTCTCAGACCATGAACTTTTGCTACCGTGAAGATTAAGTGAAAATACAACACCACACAGATGTACTGGGTTATTCTAACCTGGAGTAGGTTGAGTGTGGATTGTAGGAACAGTGGGTCTGCTCACAGTGATGTACCCAGACTCAGGATCCACCCTGAACGTCCTGCCCTGCTGTGGTTCCCTGTGTTCTCCCAGCTGTAGGGCTGACACAGCAGGTACCAGCTCCAGCTCAGGCCCTGTCCCCGGCCCCTGCTGTTTCAGCACTCTGTGGAGCGGTGCTGATTTTGTGCTCTTCAGTCTGTCTTCCATTGTCAAGCCGTACTCTGGACAAATAGGGGTGTTATCATTAGATAACTTTCAAACAATGTTTAGAGTTAGATGTTCAAGGTTAGGTGTAACAAGTTGTTCGGTATGATGGTGTGTTACGCCAAAGGGCGGTTATACTGACTATACAGAATGATACAGAATCTGATACAGAAATGCTTGAGTGGACAGTTAGGAAGACTTGTGTTCTAGCCAGCCTGAATTTTTTTCCATTATGTCAGTCCTGTTTGACGTAACATCATGACTGTCCAGTGCTTGAGGTGTGCAAATCCTAGAGGTGTCTGCAGGTCCTACAGGAAATTTTGAAATCTTTACCCTCTGAAACACTATTTCCTGGATTTTGAAGGGCAAATTTTGCTGGCAGACTGAGTTTAGTTTAATGATATCTCTTCCCATTTATGTGCCAATTTTTGTCCGTCAAAGATGCGGCAAAATTCTCTCAACTGAGGGAAACAACAGACACTGCCTAGAACACTGCCACAGACTATGTCTTGGTCATTAACTGAAACAAGTTAAACAACAGCTACATGTATAATAACATAAAAGTAGAACATATGATCTATCCATCAAGAAGTCTGTCATTTTTAGAACAATTTCCACAGAAAGATCTTTTAAATTAGCTTTTTTTGATAGCAAAAACTAAAATTTCAAAGACAACTCTAGGTATATCATGCAGTAACAAAGTCAAAACATGTGGAAAGAAACAGTCTTACCACTGATTTATGCTTTGAAGCTTCGAGAATGTTGGTCAGTACAACTCCTGTCTGACAGCACACACACCCTTGTTGGCCAGCTGTCCTTTCCTCGTGAAACACTACAAGCTGAACTGTGAAAATGTTCGGACACAGAAATTCCTTACGTGAAGTCAGGCACATACACAATGACAATTTGAGTCACTCGTACGAACCCCTTACAATGTAATGTGCTCAAAAAGACCATTATTTACTGCAAGGCGTCACCACTCCAGACTAGCCCATCTCGTGTTCAACCCCCAAGAAGGTAGAAAACACTTGGCAACAGTTTGAAAATGAAAGCATAACCGGCAATAAAGAAAAGAGGAAAGAAAGTAGACAAGACAAGAAGTGTGATAAAATTATCAACATGTTTGTGTCTGAAGGTTGTAATGTAGAATTACCTGGTTTTACAGCAACAGCTTTTTCCCCAACCCACCTACAAAATGTAAACACCCGTCCATGGTAGGTGGCATGTTTTGTAACTTACCTGTACAGGGTAAGTAAATAAAGTATCACTGTCAGAAGTAACAAAAAGTCTTTTCCGGTAGACAAAGGAGAACTCTCAATGGTGAAGAAACATATCAGTAACAACCGTGGTCAATCAACATGTGGGTAGAGTTACTGTGATGCCAATTGTGAATTGGTCGCTATGTCATTACAGTACTGTTACAATATAGGCTTTTCCTTTTGAGGGAAGGTGTTGGAACTGTCCTTTAAATTTGATTGATAATCAGATTTAAGTTGGTTACAGTAACCCTCAATAGTAATGCAATTTATCTTTCATGTTACAATGAAAGTAACAGTCTTGTAGGTTTTTTCTGACAGTTGCGATTTACCGTACACCAAATGAGCCTGAATTCGAAGTCAGGGAAATCTGGGTCAGTTATATCGATTTAAAGAGCGGCGTTACACAATTTCAAGCCATTGATGTCAATCAAAGACCACTTTGTGTGTGAGAAGATTAGTGTTTTCATGGCGGATGAATCGGACGCCTCTGAGTAATCAATGGTTGCTAATGGAGTAAAAGCCCAATAGTTGCTCAATAGTTCGGGTTACCAGCAAAAAGCTGTATTGAGGGGGGCTACTGGGATTTGTCTGGGAAGTCTAAACATTGGGACTGGAACATTTGAATAGTTGTTTTTGTTAATTGTTATGTCTTGGTGTATGTCAACATTGGCATGCCACCCAAACAGTAACGTAATTGATCTTTTCCTCCGTCCTTAAGCACTTACAAAGTAGATGATCCAGCTTGACTTTTGGTGGTAGAAAGGGATATATTGTGCATTGTAGGTGTGAACTCACAATGTTGGTTTAAGTGGAAAATTGGACTGACGTCCTGACAGGTCTACTTATGTTGACACCTGTCCTGATGATACATAGGCCATGTTTATTTGATATCATGGATGACATCCTCTGGGAACCTTAAAACTGATGCGAGCGTGCGAATATAAAAAGTTTGCCAATAAAAGTTGGCTTCAATACAATCTGCCATAAAGGTTGAACAAATGAATAAACACACAGAGTATGGTATGGTGAATAATACACATTTTCATATCTTCCCAAATTTTCTTCTTTTCCTTTGGAATTGATCTTGGCATTCGGTCTTTTCCAATACAGGTATTTTCTTGCAATTCATGTCATATATTCGTCTGTACCTCTGACGGGTTTATGTTCTTAAGACATACATTCATTAATTATCCTGATGAAGGTGACAGTGGTCATTGAAAATTTGATCTCTGAGTACCCCTTGTGTTGGAACAAAGTTTAGCATGATCGTACTATAAGTACTACCAACACAGATGCACTTGCATGATGACTTGTTCCCAAAGGTTAAGATGCCAGAAAAAAATACAGGCTGGCTGGAACACTGCTACTAATGCAGATGAACTTGTATGATTTTTTCCAGTAGGTTGAGGTACCAGAAAAAAATTTATGCTGGCTAGAACACTGCTACCAACGCAGATAAACTGCATGATGATTTTGTTGCCATAGGTTGAGATCAGCCCGATTGAGACTGCCATCCAGACCATGGACAACATGAACAAAGAGCTGCGTACCCTGATCCACCAGCACACTACTGACCAGACCAGGGGGGTACAGATCCTCAGTATGAGGTTAAACGGGGTCATCGATGCTGCTGTCAACGGTGGTATCTCCAAGTACCAGGAGGTGAGGTCTCTCTCTCTTTTTTAATTAATACATGTACAGTGGAAACCTACATGTAAATGGATCCATTGTAATTGGTGAAGGTTGGCTCAAAAAAAAGTCAAATAAAGGCATCCAAAATAATTCACCAAAATTTTCAGTCAATTTTCTGTTTTTTTTCTTCAATCCTATCCCATATGGTAACATAGTATGCTAACGTACAGTTAGCATACTGATATCTGTAAGGCAAAAATGTGATGTCACTGACAGAAAAGGGCTCCTTGTTTTGTACTGTAGGCTGGTTCTAGCTATTTGTGTTTGGTACCCAAAAAATAAAGAGACACACCTGACCTCACAGCTTGTTTTGGGACTATTTCAAAAGCTTGAAGTATTTGTTAAGAAACAGAGTAAATGTCAGACAGATTTCCTCATCCAGAATATTTTTGTTTTGCTGCCCTGATACTGCATTGGATGCCTTTAACACATTACAGCAGGATCTCTTTTCTCTAAGTCAGAAATATCAAGCGTAGGTAGCATGTTTCAGCAGTGTCTATTGGTATCATGGTTTTACTGTTGAGCTTGTCTTGTACACTATTGTAGTGTCTGCTTTGAAAGGTATAATGTATGTAATAATTTTTACATGTATAGCCAGTAAAATAACTGTGATATTATTGACATGTATAATTATTGGTATTTCAATGTTTAATTTTTCAGTCTACTAAAAACATTTTTTTGTCTCCAGGCCTTCTTCGAGGATGACTACATCACAGCCCACCCTGAGGATCAACAGCTGGTGCAGAGACTGAAGGGTCTGGTTCTGGAGCAGGTCTGACAATATACCTGTCTTATGTCTTTGTTGTTGTGTCGTATTTGAATGAAAGCTCATCGATGTTGGTAGAATCCATGATAGTTGCAAAGTTGAAGCCTTATGTAGTTCCAACATGCTTCTGATGCCTGGGGAGTCAGTGTAGTTTATCATACATCTGATGAAGGTTGATGTGTTCAACCAAAAATTTATGGAAAGTCTTTCTTTTCATGTTTGCACTAAGGCTTAAACTTTGTAAATATAGTCATGTAACATCTACAATGTGTATGCAAGGTAAACTACTAGTACATTTTGTAACTACAGTCAAACTTACCCAGGTGACCACCTCTTTCTATAAGCCAGCCGTCTGGCCATGGCAACCGCTTTTTCTCGGTCCTGATATTCTTCCCCATAGACGTACGCAAGGACCTTGCTTAAGTTCAACGGGACTTCGACTGGCACTAAATGGACCAAATATGGCCCAATCTCTGCCTATATGATGACTGTCATTTTCAAGCGTGTTGCGAAAATTTGCAATGCATTGTATGTTTAGGACTGCATTGTAGGTACAGTTCCGTGTAACTGTGTAGAATGATATGTAAATATTTTGCTTTTGGGAATGCATCTATAGCAGCGACACCTGTGCTACAGTGCAATGTGAACCAGTCAGAACTGCCCTGAGGAAGGTGACAGACGGTCACTGAAACATTGTGAAAAAAGAGTCTCTATTCCTGACAGTGACTTACATGTACATGCACCAACCTGATGAAACTATTCACGGAGGTTGATCTGGAAATGTAAGTTTTTGTTTTCTGCCCCAGGTGAGTGTACTGGAGAGTGGGCTGGCCATCCATGGTAAGCTGGCTCCAGCTGAGGTGGTTCCTCTGCACAGGAAGATGGTTGAGATGTTCACAGCCATGAAGGCCAGTCTGGCCGGACAGGTCAGATTCTACACAAACTCCTTCTTCTCTTGTCTTCAACTTGTGAAAAGGCTTGTTTTTTTAAGTTAGAAATGCAAAGTAAAATTACTGTATTGGCTTCAGGCCACACCAATGTAATTTAAGAAGGTTCTTGGATTCGCCCGCTTCATTTTTTTCTGATTTGCAAAAGAAAAAGGATTCTGGTTCTGAATCAACTAAAAATACTCATATTTTTGCCTCAATAGTTGAAGAAAGCCCTTGCCCTCCTAGTTGTTACAATTTTTCCATCTAACAATGCAGTGCTTTGATTAAAAGTTAGAAATTCATTGTTTTTTCTTTTAATTACTAGTATAAACCAGCCCAGTATGTTGACTTCGTGGCTCCTATCGTAGCTTTTGGGGCTATCATAAGATGCCATAATCCTGTTTCTATTTAACATTTAATTGCCCTGTCACTTTTTTCTGACCAGGAACACATGAAACGTTGAGCTGAGTTTGAGACATTATTTTTAAGACATTTTGTTGATCTTACAGAACTCCCCCAGCCTCTGGCACACCCAGAAGAGACTGTCTGTGGCCTCCGCACCCGGCGCTCTGGGTCAGAGGTCATCTTCCATCCCCTCCATCCCACCCAGTCCTGAGAAGAAACCTGCCTCTCCCCTGTCTAAAAGGTAGAGTATACATGTAGCACGTTTGGGTGCGCCTCCTATCAATCTCTAACGGAACTGCAGTTGTCAAGTTGTGATTGATGGCTAGTCAATCCTGGTCCATGTCAGAAAGTAGGTATTGTATGTTTTCATGCCTTCCATACCATAGCTTACAAACACACAACAAAACATCATTGCTTGGCATGTATATTTGCAATTTGGCAATGGAAGAATGTGTGAGAGATATCATTGAGTCATTGACTATGAGCCAAATAACAATATAAGATATACACGTAGTGCAATCTAACAGTTTGAAGAAAAGGTATTTCGAGTAAGATTAGACATCCAGGTAATAAGAAACAGTTACTCAAAATTTGTCTTGCATAACACCACATGTGTATCGATCAATTATTATTATTAAATAGTAGTTCATGTTTATAAACTTGCTGATTTTGAGAGCTCTCCAGTGTAACTGATGAAAGGTAGTGGATGCATCTGAAACATCTGACCATTTCCAAAATCATATCCAGCTGCTTGAGCAACAGAGTTACTGTTTTTTTTGGCAAAACAAGGTATTCTTTTTAATTTTTTATTCATCATTTGCACAAGTACAGACTACATATAAGCTCCAAGTTGTAGTATGGCTCTATATGTTAGCAATGTGGTATTACCTGTATGCAGGTGCATGAAAATGAACGTTGTGTCCATACATGTACTAACCCATGTTGTCTCACCATGCAGTCTGCAGTCTCCACTGTTCCCTGTGAAAACCACCACATCAAAGACATACGCTATCAGTACACAGGTGGGGCTTTCTTTTGTTGCTACAGGGATGTACAAGTAGCCTGGTATCCAGTCTTACGTGATTGGGGGTATTGGGGTGTTCAGGCTTCTCCCGCCCAGTGCAACAGACCGTCCCGGTAGGAGTGTTACGCTAATAAGAGACAGTATGCTTGGGGATTTGGTTTCCCCCCAACACATTTGTGGAGGACTAATCAATCTCTCGTGAAATACACACCGGGAAACCTATGTGAGGCGGGTGGGACAGAGCTCTAGTGGCCCCAGCGGTACAGAGCTCTTGTGGCCCCGGCGGGACAGAGCTCTTGTGGCCCCGACCATGATCAGACTGGATACCAGGCTAATGTGCAAGGCGCGTTTTCATTCATCCAAAGTGCTGTCGCCACTCTTTACAACTAGATATGAACCAAATCATGGACCCCATCACTGCTTTCTTCACAACGTCCAGTCCAATTGGCAGAAAACAAAGTCCAGTCCGTTTTGGGGGTGGAAAAAGCAGTCCAGCCATTTCTGTGTGTAGTATCCCTAAATCGGACTGGGCTTTGTTTTCTGCTGATTGGACTGGACATTGTTTTCCACCATCCCCATCTATCATATGCTACAAAGACTGGGACTCACCAGTGTGTATTGATGATCAGGGGGTGTCACTACCTGAAACCTGTATATGACTGTCTCTTGTCATGTGATTTTCACATCAAGTCACGAGACAAGAGAACTCCAAGACAAGATCTTAACCGGTTCGAAGAAGAGACAGAGTGTGTCTCGTAAGCTCCCCAGAGTAGCTGAACGTCCATTGTGTCTTTTGGTATAAATATTTATCAAAATGATGTATTGATGATAATTATGCTCCAGCCTCCAGCGTCTGTCCCTACCACCCCTGCGACTGCTGCGGCCCCCTCCCCCTCCCCCCTACTCCCGGAGAAGAGGAGGAACAGCACCCCCAACACTAACAACACGGCCACAGATGCACCAGTGAACCAGGTGGGCTATCACAACACATTAAAACTCTCCACACAACTTCATGTATAAAAGCCATTTTTCTACTCTCCAAGAAGATGTTTGGGCTTTGGCTTATTTTTGGTGTGTTTAAGGCTTTTTTATCAAGCTTTCTCTGGCTGCAGTGGGCACACTTCGCAGTTCACACATACATGTACTTGTAGAACGACCATAATGTGTTGAAGTGATTAGGTTTATAGCGCAGGGTTGGGCTGGCACAAAAAAAGATACTGGTACAAAAAAAGAAAGCCTGATAAAAAAACACCAAAAATATGCCAAAGCCCAAACACACTACACACTAGAAAAAAACAAATGTTGGGATTGTTTAGTGTTTGGCCCAGAACCTAAGATAGATCCTGGGTTCAAATCCATCAACTTGCCTCACCAATATTGTGTCCTCGGGAAAGGTACTTTACACTACTTTCCTCTCCACTCAGGTGATATTGAGTGCCTAGCTTTGGTTAGGGATGTACCTCAGATAGGACATGGACCACACCCCATGCAAGTTTTAAGAACTCACCACACCTTTCGAAAAAGAGAAGGGTTATGTCCCTGTGTGCGATGATCCTTTCCTGTGTGCGTTGTTCCAAAAATTATATTATACAATTTATACATGTACTACCATCTGGTGATTCACTTCATACTCCAGGAAGAGTAGTGTGCAATTACCAATAATAAAGATCCAAATCAAACGAACAAACAAACAGATACTGTCTACATTTGTGTACATTTGAGGGCTGTAACCATCACTGACTATTGATGCCTTGTACCCCCAGCCTGTCCCTACCCATGTGAGTAGAGACAGTGTACTCAGACATGGCAGTGATCCCAGTCTCAGGACTCAGTCTCCAGACAGAGCAGACAGCAGTAAGTCACTCTTCTTCTGCTTTTATCTCAAAGCTATGTCTTAATATTCCTTCTTCATTTTTTTTTGCCTTCTCGCATTGTAGTTTTTTTTTTTTCTCTTGAACCTGTTAGCATTGAGAGTTTCATTCTGTTGGGATTTACTTGAAGATAGACAAGCAATGTTACACTGTAGCGATTTTATATGTGCACATGCTACATGTACATGTACTAACAGAAGCAAATTGTGTGTTAAGTTGACTCTTGCTAATGTTGTTGGTAAGCTCTACATGTTTTTAAGTTGCTCTTTTGGTAAAAAAAAGTTGTAGATATCTAGTAAGGCCACACCGTCTTAATTTTATGGATGACATCTGCGCGCGCATTGATTTTCGCCTGTTCTCAAAAAAAAAAAGATCACATCCTCCGAGGCTCTGGCCTGGCTCTAGGCCTAGGTAGTCCATGGTACAAATGTAGTTAGTACAAATACAGAGCCGGTGGTAATTATGGAGGATGGCACCCAGGCTGCCAAAGCTCCACGACGGCAAGAACTCAGTGCCGATTCATAAATTCCGCAAAAAGCCAGTATGTGCCGGCTTGTTGTATACATCGCTGTGTACTGATGCAGGTTTAGTAGCATTTTTATTTTTGGCTGGAATTTTTTTTATTCGCCCGCGCGTACTAGTTTTGGGATCTTCAAACTATCAAAGGATGTTATCTATAAAATTAAGTCGGTGTGACCTAATGTGACTGATGGCAGGCTATGGTTGATGGTTTTCTTTCCCTACACTCTAGTCCTTACGCGAAGTATGGACGTGATTCCGTATGGCACCACAAACAGGCACCCGGGCCCTGGCACACAGAACAGCCCCCGCAGTAGCTGGGCAGGGCCTAGTGTGGGCCCGCCCATTCCCCCTCGTACTGGCCTCAAAGGTGGTGGGAACAGTTTGGGCTTTTATTTTTTGGTTTGTTTTGTGCACCCGCTGTCCTGTCTGTGTATAGTGTGGCATGTTCTATCTGTCCTGTCTGTCTGATCATCACCAGTGTATGCACTTTGTTTTGCTGTACATGTACGAGGGCCTGCATGGGGGGGTAGTGGTTACGAATTAGGCAAAATTTTCGCCACCGATTACAAATTACGTTAAAGTCTCAGAGCTGATTATGACTTTACGATTTGCGGCTATGTTCTATTACGAATAATTACGTTGATTTTTGTGGAGGGTGCATACGAATGACGAAGTCTAAAAAGGCCTGATTACACCTTACGAAAAAGGGCATGCAGGCCCTTATATACATGTTAACTGAACTACCCCCACAAAATGTAAGTCTGTAAGGCCACATCAATTTAATTGATTGGTTCTTGGCTCCACCTGCTTCATTTTTTATTGATTTGCAAAGAAGAAAAAAGATTCAGGTTCGGAATCAACTAAGAAATGCTCATATTTTGGCCCAAACAGTTGAAGAAAGCTGTCCAACAAATCAAATTGGTGTGGCCTAAGAATAAGATAACCCTTGTCACCTCTGGCTTGAGGCACGTACTTCTAACATACATTGTAACTGTGTGTGGTGTTGAACATTCACCCATTGTTCCTACTCACAAGTGTGCTTGTCAAGAGGGTTTGTATTAGGGAAGAAAAAGATCATTTCAATGTACACCTCATCTATGTTTTTCTCATGGCATAATGCACCCTTTTGAAACACATGATCTCTGTTTTCAGTGATGTGACATCCACTCATTTAGATGTTTTTATGTACTGTAAATCACTTTGTTTGCAGTAGCAAAAGTTTGGTATACAAGTTTGCTGTGCACAAGTGACTGCAAAAACAGTGAAGATAAAAGTAACGCAGAAAAATTGTGATTTACAGTAATTGTCAATTTTGCTGTGATTAATAATTGAAATAGAAAATGCATCCAAAATATGACAAAAAAAGATAGAAATAACACCTTCTGTAATATGTGTCTTCCTTGTAGCCCTACAGAATGTGTTTTGTGAGGTAAATTTCTGACTTCTGGTCTTTCGTCCCCCACAACAGGAGGTTTCACGCTGAACTCAACAGCCACACCGTCAGTGTCTACCGTCACCACAAGTACGTCCCAGACAGGAGGAGAGGACTCCCAGCCTCCGGCTCTACCTGCCAGGGTCAAGAGGGTACACAATCCATCCTAGATACTAGTACTAGAAAGGCAGACATTTGTTGAGCAAATACAGCATATTTCAGTCCATCTCCCTCCTCGTTCCAAAATGCAAACTTTTCCATGTAGTGCTCTGCAAGCTACAGTGCTTCAGATTCAGTTTATTCTCAAAACCCCATACATTGCTTTGCAGTAAAATGTTCTCAAAACTGCCATACCGCGCTATTCAGTGACAAGTATTTCCAAAACCCCCATGAAGTGCTCTATGAAACATGCTGTCATATTAGTATCACTACTTTTGTAGCTAGTTTCCAATCCTAAAGCTACATGTATGTGTATGATGTTTTTTGTAACTTCACCACTCAATTATACCTTTCAAAAGTGCTACAATGGTATGTTTCTTATTGTACTGAGACTAAGATTGTGATCTTTTTAATATGCCCATTTTTTCTGTCTTTTTTTTCTGTGGGGGTTTTGACATTAAAAAAATGGGGTATATTAGAATGGTCACAATCTTAATTCCCTACCAACCTCTGGTTGGAAAGTAGTTCTTCCCATAATCAATAGTTGTTATGTATGAATTTGCTCATTTTCTGAACTCTGTGTGATTTTTTCCACAGGCCTCTGCAGTGTCTCTCCAGTCCCTGGACAGTGGCCTGGCTCCCAGTCCCCCTCTCACCCCAAACCGTGCTGTTACAGCATCCCTCCAGTCTTCCGACACTTCCTCCATCTCCTCTACATCCTCCACAGACACCAACGGTTCTGTAGATTCTGCCACCATCCCCCCTATCCCTCCCAAACCCCCCAAAGTTCGCCCCCTCCCACCCGTACCTACTGCCGTGGAACCTCAAGTCAGCAAGTCGTTTGGAAGGTACGCGCCGGCTTTCTTTGACTCCACGCCGCTAGTTCCCGCGAAGAGCGGGCAGACACCGCGGATTCCGGAGAGTCCGGAGGGGAGTCAGTCCGTGTACATGTCGCCGACTTCCGTGTACATGTCACCATCTTCTGTGTACATGTCTCCTTCCCCTGTCACCCTGGCCTCACCCCCTCCACTGGTAGAGAAGAAGAAGAACCAACAACAGGCCACGGCACAGCAGACGTACAAGTCTGTTCCCAGGCCTGTTCCTACACCCAGGAAGAGTGTCTCAGACAATAGATAATGTAGATAATCTGTTCCTTAGATGAAATGGTTGTTTTGTTTCATGTTTTCTTGAGCCACAATTTCATGTTGTTTCTTGAGCCACAATTTCATGTTGTTTTGTTCAGCTACAATTTCATGTTGTTTTGTTCAGCTACAATTTCATGTTGTTTTCTAGAGCCACAACTTCATGTTGTTTTGTTCAGCTACAATTTCATATTTTGTTCAGCTACAATTTCATGTTGTTTTCTTGAGCCACAATTTCATGTTATTTTGTTCAGCCACAATTTCATGTTGTTTTGTTCAGCCACAATTTCATGTTTTGTTCAGCCACAATTTCATGTTATTTTCTTGAGCCACAATTTCATGTTGTTTCGTTCAGCCACATTGACATCAACCTATAGTAATTATTTCTACCTTTTTGCTTCAGTTAAATTTGAGTGAGATTTCTGTATTCTCACTAGCAGATAACTGTTTCAGGTGCTAAAAGTTATGTTAAGTTAACTCTGTCTCATTCCATTGTAGCTACATATAGCTAGAGTAATTATAAGCCATTATTTTGACAATATATGCTATACAATTTTCTGGTTGTGGAAATAGTTATATACTGCCAGTAAGAATTTATTGTTGATTAAAAAAATGTGTGTATACTTTTTTCAGTGCACAGTATGTACAAGTTATTTCTTCTTTGAATACAGAACTTAAATCAGGTGCTGTATATAGTGTATATCAGGGCTCAAGTCCCTCTGATATGTTAACATACATAGCCACTGCCTATACTATATACATACGTAACATTATATGATTCATACATAATGATCGTGGTATCTTTGTATTGTAAATACAGTTTGCTACTTTGTAATTTATAAACAAAAACGTCTACAATAGAATATTTAATCCAATATAAGTGAAACAAGCCTCATTGCGTACTACAATAAGTAAATTTGTGAAGTTGCAAAGTTTTGTTAAAATCAACATTTAAGTTGTATTGCTTTAGGATAAGGTCAAGCACGTCTACACTGGTAAAATGTGTACATGCAGAAGAGTTCTTTATTTGGTAAATGCGATGTACGATTTTGAGAATGATTAGAAATCTCAGCCTCCTACTTTGTTGCTGTTTTGCTGTACCCACTGTATTCTGGTACATGTGTGAGCCCACAACAGAAAAGGTGGAAGCCTGAGCTGCACTGGTACTACATGTATAATACTACATAAATAGCGGTTACTCTCTCTATTCCAATAAGTGGAAATATAAGTCGTTAGACTAATTTGTTGCCTTTTTAGAATCAGCTGGTACAGCTACTACAGGTTAAAATATATTTTGTGATGAAGAAGCCACATGTACATATTGCACTGGGTGTAATCATACATACATGTATACAGGCCAGTAACATAATGGGATCAAGCTAGTACAGGTTTTGTAAATTTGGGACTCTGGGATAAAAGCTGTTCATTTTCGTGGAGATCTGCCATTGTATGAGTAGTAAATAAACATAAAATGTTCTTTTTCCTGATGCTTGCAATATGCCATGTCTCAAGCCTTCCTGTTACGTTTAGTACTAGTTTCAAAGGCTTTACTGCCAACACGACTTGCAGATATTCTTTTGGAAGGAAGAAAACATGATTAACAGAAGAGACCCCTTATGGACTCTTTATGTACTGCAGGTACATGCATTGATGAAGTGAATTTCATTTGCTTTGTTGGAAGTCCAAACAAGTAACAGTTACATTATTGCAACTTTGGGACAAAATGTCATGTTGTTCGTAGATTTGAACATGCCATGTTATTTCATAGTGTATTACATTATTTGTTCTTGTTTAACCAAATCATGTATGCAATGGGAACTATTCATTTCTTATACATGTGTACTTGGTTGTATACAATATATGCTCTACACATCTTTTGCACTCGATGTATAATTCAAAATCTATATTAACAATCTTTGCAATATGAGGGATGAGTATATTTTTGGTGTATTAGACAGCTGACAACTTGGTGTTTGTGACTACATATTTGTAAATACAGAAAGCTCCAGGCCAAGTCAGCTTTCAGAGGGATTGTCTGTTGCTACTTTGACGAAAGCCATTGTTTGATACGGTGTATTTAGAGACAATCTTGCAATAAATGGCCTTTTTTAAAAAGCAATCATTTACTAAATTCTTAGGTATCATTGTGTCGGTAATGTATGGTAAATAAATATTGCTTGTATACATGTACCAGTGTTTGTCAGTGTGTTTTTCACAATCTTCCCCAACAGTTAGGCCACACCAATTTAATTTCTTGGTTAATGGATTTTTCTAGAAAAATAATGGAGCGGGTGGGAGAAAAAAACTAAAACTAAAAACAGGCCAAGCCGCCAAGGCATCCTATTATAGCCCCAAATGCTACAATAGGAGCCATGAAGTCAACACAAAAGGCTGGTTCAAAATTCAAACGAATTTTGAACTTTTAATGATACCACTGCATTGAAAGATGGAATAACTGTAACAACTAGGAAGAAAAGGACTGTTTTCAACTGTTCAGGGCAAAATATGAGCATTTTGCAGTTGATTCTAATTTTTTTTTTTTTTGCAAATCAGAAAAAGATGTAGCAGGCAAATCCATTAACCAAGGAATTAAATTGGTGTGGCCTGACCCAGAGATACTATTTCATGCTTATTGAGGGACAAATTTTGTAAATTTATGTTTTCCCTCTATTATAGCTTAATTCTAAGGTAAAATTTCTTTTACGATTTATGACAGCTCACAAGGTTCTCCAAAACGAAAAGTATGTATGCTGGTTGAAAGTGTAGGGGGCTAAATCACAGCATAGGGGGTCCAAATCACAGCATAGGGGGTCCAAATCACAGTATAGGGGTGGTCCAAATCACAATGTAGGGAACCCCCTTGAGAATCCCAAGCTAGTGTTGGTTCCATACGTCTTTGGTATCTGCTAGTACTAGGAAACCTTTACAGGCTTTTCTTGCATTATCCTGCAGATAAAAGTGCATCATTAATCAGTGGTATGAAGTATGCCAAGCATGCAGCGAGGCCCACCCAGCACATTGTCTGTTCCAGGTGTCTGCTCAACTGGGTCTGAACAGCACTCGGAAGGCGGCGGTCTGGATTGCAGGGTTTTCTGACTACAATCAGGCTCTAGCCAGCACCCGTTTTTCTGTCAATTGCATGAATTTTGTGGCGTGTGATGGAAAAGAAATTTCAAACCAATCTGTCAACCTTGATGGACCAAATCGACAAAAATCTGAAATGATATGAAAAATATGAAAAAAGGACCACCAACAACCACTCTCAATCCCATGATTTGCCTCAGTCTGAAAATGTGGGAAATTGTGTTTATATAGACTTGAAAATACATAATTTTTCCACGCCCTGACTACGTTTGTACATGTTGAGTCAATTTCAAACCACTTTTAGCTTGCCTTCATCAAGCTACTAGTATTCTTCCTGTGGCCGGGGGAAAAAAAGCTTATGACATATTAGTATTATTACAATACATCCGCATGTGTCAAGGTACAACTTGTCTTCCTGAACAGAAGGCTTAACTGTAGATTCTGAATGTAGGTTGAGCATTTTATGGAGGTGGCTTGTTCTGCCATCTACCTTCAGGGTGATGGCATATACATGTACATATTGACAGATACTGCCTGACATATACACATTGTTCATGTTAATCCTAGCTTGACCTTTTGCATGTGGGGCAATGTGATTTATAGAGGTTGTAGTGCTGCAAATGAACACCAGTGCTCCTTAATAATATTAATACTCCAGACCTGACGAGTACCGTGTACAGTAAAGAATCCAGCACTGACCTGCAAACAAGCAAAGACTCTAGAACGAATCCAAGTAAGGGCCTGCAAAATCATCCTGGGGTCACAGTATTCCAGTTACGACACAGCAGTTACTACATTGAACCTCAGCTACCTGGCTGACCAACGCCGCACAATCTGTAGAACATTTGCAGAATCTCTCTTGAACTCTGACTTTCGTGAATGGCTGCCCCCAATAAGGCACAATATCTCTGGTAGAAGAAAGCGTTCTGCACAGAAGTTTGACACTCCATATTGCCGCACAGAACTGTACAAAAAGTCACCCATTCCTTACATTGTTTACCTGTTAAATGCCAGTTAATTAGTCTCATATCATTTATATGAAACCTTTTACAAAGCCCATCTAATCTTTAGCCTTGTCGGACAGATATTTACCTCTACATCAATTAAACATTGTTGTACAAAGAGGCATTATTGCTTTTAATTGGTATGTGTTGTAACCGTGTAAATTATGTAATTTTTAAACCATTTGTATAGTTTAAAAGGATCATTTTATGATGCTGTCTGTAAGAACAACTCAATTCAGACTCTCGTCTGCCAATTGTTTGAATAAAGATTGATTGATTGTGTACTTTGGTCTAAAGAGGAAGCATACATGTACATGTGGTTACACACAACTGATCATTCAGTGGTGATTCCACAAATAGGTCACATTGCCTCTAGCAATCCCTTTGGCTTAGGTCACTGATTTCATACATGCCCTAATGCCTTTTCATGCTACATTTTTTTCACTCCATTACTTTGCTTGGTCAGTTGTGCTTTGTGTTTTGCAATTTACGGCAGCAAGAATGAAAATCTGTTTTTCTAGATGGCCCCAGACCACAGGTTAGAGCATAACAGGTTAACCTTTGGCCAAACCAATTTAATTTGTTGGTTCTTGGATTTTTTCATAAAAAATATGAAGCGACAGGAAAAAAAACACATAAGTATCTGATAGCTCCCAAAGCTGTGACAGGAGCCATGGTGTCAACATACCAGGCTGGTTTGTAATTCAAGTAACGAGTTTGAAACTTGTTTTTATCAAACCAATGCATTGATACAGGAAAAAACTGTAACAACTAGGAAGACCAGGAGCTTTTGTCAACTGTTTGGGCCAAAATACGGGCATTTTGGAGTTGATTCAGAACCAGAATTTTGTTGTTGTTGTCAAATCCAAAAAAAATGGAAGTGGGCAAATCTGCGAACTAATGAATTAATGTGGTGATAATAAAGTTCAAGTTTTTGAAATGAAAGGAGCAAACAATTGACAAATAGACTGTGATTCCTGCATTATTTCAGGATTTTCCTTACTCTTAACAAAGATCTTCAAAGATTATAATCAGTAATCTAAGGCCACACCAATTTAATTTGTAGGTTCTCAGATTCACCTCATTTTTTTTTTAAAATATATGTTTTGCCCCCAACAGTTGTGGAAAGTCCATGCAGTGTTCTGATTAAAAGTTCAAACTTCATTGTTCAAATATTAACCCACCCTTTTGTGTTGACTTCATGGCTCATATCGTAGCATTTGGGGCTATAATAGGATGCCTACACCTGTTTTTATTTCTTCGCCCTGTCGCTTCATATTTTTTCTGAAAAAATCCCGAGAACCAACAAATTAAATTGGTGTGGCCTAACCATGGTAAAGCAAGTACCGGTAACACAGTACTGTAGACTTCAGATTTGTAATTTCACTGTGCTATAAAAGACCAACCATGGGTATATACCAAGAGAAATACTATAACAGCAATGACCACGAAGACAAGGAATATCTCTGATCTGCATGCTTTAATTTCTATATGGATAGGATGGGTAGGAAGGATCTATGATTACATTTGGGACAAGATCAGTCAAAGTCCTACACATCTCACACCTTCAGCCCTGTAAAATACACCTACAAAACACAGCCTTCCAACTAAAATGTCCATTGGTCTCTAAAAATAATTTCCATGCTCTATACAAGCAACCATCATGATCATCATTTCAGAACAATCTGTACACTTGACATGTCACTGGACGGCCACCCCTTTCTTTCGTGGCAATGGTTCGGTCCACAACAGTACCCTAGTTTTACACAAGGCTGTACCACTTCTCCATAGGGGTGTCAGAACATTTCTCTTATATCACATGTAGTACTAGTACCATTCTCAATTAACCATCTGCATGAAATAATCTTGTGCATTTTCTTGTCTGTCGACAACAGTTGTTTGGCTTGTCTAACAAATGTACTTTATAACACATTTTGCAAACATAGTACAGTCCTTGCACAAGAAAACTTTACATACTAAAAATCAAATCACCGTGTGTAAAAAGTTGTCCGTAAGGTGACATCGAGTATGTTTCGTCAAATTGTACATTTTTGAGAAAGTACAAAACACAAGAGAATTCCGACTATATTATAACAATGCTCGATACTTGTAAATCTCACAATATCAATTATTGAACAAACAGTCCTGTCATCCACATACAAGAAGCGAAATATGTCTTCACGGGCAACATTTCATGTTACAAAAGGTCTGTATATGGTTGTCCTGGGGACAGTATACCAAGCCCTGCTTGTTAATGTCAGTGGCAATAGTCCAGAATTGCATAATCTTACATTTGAACACACAAATGTATCAAACCCAAAAAGTCTTGTGCAGTTGTCAAATTCCTCTGACATGTTTTCTTTTCTTACACAGTTTATGTTTGGAATAATACAGCAATACCGTAAACACATATTCATATAACCCTGACCTAAGCTTTTCAGGATGTTCAGTTTGTGTATTGTCCATACAAACAGTCAGTTGCATAAAATGACAGCTCAATATTTCATCTACGTACCCTTCATTGTGACTTTCTAGGTATACTTTCCACAGATTCTGTATTGTATTAGCCTTGTTCTAACAAACATAACCTGACCTATATTGTCACTATAGCAACAGACAATCAAGACATTCTTCAGACATAGTTCATATGCATGTGACAGTATAACCTTCCTGCCCACCCTCTTTGAAAACCATCTTGCTGTATATATCATAGTACATTTGGATGTTGAACATACATTGTGACAATATTTGTAGTGATGAAGGAAGCTTTCAAAACTTCAAGTTACATTTCAATATCAAATCAGATGTTCCAGAGGTATTACAAATCAATTCCAAATATTTCATTTTCTGTATTATTGTTGTAATGCTGAAGTTTTGAAAGGTGCTTCTTTTCACAACAAATTGTAAAATTGTTGGCCATATTTTCTATGATGTTTCAAAGTCCTTTGGTTGCTGCACTTCTGACTGCATGACGGCTCTGGTTCTAGATGTTCTGCTTCCCACTTGAATCTTGCAGTATTCCCACAGTCCTTTGCACCGTTGCTTTTGAACCCTGGGTACTGGGACAATAATTTGGGGGCGTGGCACACAGAGGGCTCACAATGTCCTCTACTGACAAATTTTTCATCTGGTTTGGCTGTTTTGGACAATTTCCAGATAGAATGTTGTTTCCCTTTCAAAAGAGGCACTTTGTTGCACAGATTCAGTCACTTGCAGTGATTTCAGCGCACACGTTACTGCGTTTACACCGAAACTTTTCCTTTTCATAACCACAGTCCACGAAGATGCAGAAACTGTTCCCAACGAGAACTTCAGACATGTGAAACTTGTTGCATGTCGCGACCCTCCAAACAGCACTCGAAGCTGTCGACAGTCCTTGTTTTGAAGAAGTGTAACTTTTATCTGTATGGAAAAATTCCACAAGTCGAACACGCGGCTTGTACTCCGTAAAACACGTTGCAGCAGTTCTGATGATTCACTGGTGATCAATTCATTTCGGCGTACTTTTATTCCGCCCACTTATTCCCATCTTGAATTGACATGCAGCGCACAAGGTAAGCATACGGTGCTGTGTTTTTGATGAGGTATAGGAGACATGCCTCGCATGTGATCTCTTTCCACTACCCGGGCACACAAATTGCAGCAGAACAAGTAAGTCCACAAATTGACAACACACACGTGGGGGAACACAGATGTAGAATTTCCAATCAGTGATTCTCTCTCTCTCTCTGCCTTGTTCCAACACAGAAAACCATTCAAACACACTGTTCCAATCAGTTCCCTCTGCACAATTATTCCATGGGAATAAACACATTTGGTGATTCCAGACTTGCACGTTGTTTGTTCTTCATTCAATGATAAATCCTGGTGGTTGCTGTAGAGAAGAAATCTTGAAGCTACGCACTTGATTGTAAATACAAAAATCGTACTGCCATTAACGTATCACCAATCACAAGACAGTAGGGTAGATACTTGATGAACACATCTACAAGATTGGCCACAACTTGTTACATCCAAGCAGAACTCGGGGTAATCTTTATGCACATCCACGCACGATTATCACCACCAAGTGGTCCTCTGGACTCGGGTGCTGTGGCAGGTTGGGCGCCAGTCGGCGTAACTGGCCCTGAGAAAACTGGCAGGGTGGGAAGGCGTGAAGCACGCCCACGTTGTTCTTGTCCTTGCCTCCGTTCACAGGCAGACTGATGACTCCAGCCGCCTGCTTCTGCTTGAGGTATGAAACCAGATTCCGCAAGGGTCGCTGTTGGCTTGGCAGTGACGGGTCCTCAAACTGTCCCGACGAAGGTAACGCTAACAGGAGACAGTGACCCTCCATACCGGAGGACTCAATCCTTCGAGTCACTTCCTCTAACTTGGGCATATCCAGTCGCAAACGTTGTGTGATTTTCAGCACAGGTGTTTGAGCTGTCCTGTCTAGCAGAAGGCTCTCCACAATACTGCTGCCCCTCCAGGTGTGCATCTTGGTACCAAAAGCACTATTCTTCAGAACAAGCGCTCCGTGCCACACAGAGGTGCAATGTTTCGCCACTTCGTTCAGATTCTCAGCTTTTCTCAGAGCAGCAGCCTTGGCACGTTCCTCTGCGCTGTCCAGTTTCCGCCCGTGACGGTGAGACTTGTGCTCTTTGTCAATCCTGTCTCGGTCGTCGTTGTTGTCATTCCGGTCCATAAAGCGGTCCTCACTGCTTTGGGAATGGCGGCGCTTTGAGGCTCGAGCACCCTTGGGGGAGTTATCCTCCACGGAATGTTTGCGGTTCGGTGAGTACCCTCGTCTGTTGTCAGGACTTGCATATCCCGCATAACGACCGCGATCACGGTTGTTGGGACTACCCTTGGCGGAACCAGAACGTGGCGAACGTGAACGCGAACGCTGTTGCAGCTTCCTGTTACGCTCTGGAGTCTGATCTCGGTTACGGGAATCAAAATCATCCATGGGAGAACGTCTTCGCTTGTCACCATAGCTGCCACTGTTTCTCCCCCCATCCAAACCATCAGCACGACTCCGATCTTGTTCCCAATCGCGCATGTCACGATGGATCCCACCGTTGTTACGATCCTGCCAGTCATCCCTAGTCCTGGGATGGTCGCCGCGTCCGTCAAACTGGCGAAATCCTCCCCTACGAGCGTCATGCCGGGCTCGGTCATCAAAACTATTCCCTCGGTTCGCATACATAGGAGGGGGCGTCAATCCCCGGCTACCACGCCGGTCTAAATCACGGTGGTCAAACTCAACCAACAACTCCTCCCGAGCAGGACGGCGGTCGGGCGGAAACGCCGGGTATCGAAGTGCACCTTCTGGGTCAGCAAAATCAACGCGCAAACGGCGATCGGGCCCTCCCAACGGAAATCCTCGCATTTCCGTCCACGCAGCCTGTGCAGCATCCAAACTGTCGTACAATATGTACGCATGGTTGTCACCCTTCACATAATCTATTTTCCTGATTGCTCCAAAGCGGTCGAATTCTCGTTCCAACACTGCGAGGGACGTCCAGGGTCCAAGACCCCCGACCCACAGACAAGTCGTAGGCAGTGCCTTGCCGTACCCAATCTTACACGGGTTCCTACCAACAGGTTGGCCCTGCATCGCTAACTTAGCCTTGTGTGCCACATCAAGGTTTGTAAACTTCACAAACGCATAAGCATTACCCTGGCCGCGCATCGGTCGCTTGATGTCTATATCCTCAATATACCCAAAGGGTTCAAACGCACGTCTCAACTCGGTATCCGATATGTTGTACTCCAGATTTCCCACGAACAAGGTTCTGGTGGCCCTCTGGTCATCCTCTGGTAGCATGTCGTAGGGGTAACGATCATTGTTGGCGTACAATCTGCTTCTGGGTCCGGGATCGAACTCGTCAAACCTCTCCCTGGGTGGCAGGTCCCGTGTGAGACTACCGTGCCGTGTGCTGGCCCTCCTGCCGGGTACAGGTGACCGGCCGTCCCGCTGGCTGGCAGGGTAGGTCGGGCTGGTGAACTCTGGGGTCAAACTCCTACGTTCCCGTTTGTTTGTATGGAGGGTGTACTTGTTCGGACTGAACACGGGCTCGACACGCAGGCTTCTATCAAACAACACGAGCTTTAGCTTGCCCTTTTTGGCGTCTTTTGCATCCTGTGGGAAAGCGGAAGTTGACATAAGCTACGCGCTCGTCGCCTCTGAACCCTACTTTCACGTTGATCTCCCCATATTTTTTGAACTCGTGGAACACACCGTCTCTGATCGCGGACTCAGAAAGGTGCGATCCAAAGTTACTGACGCACAAAGACCTGTAATCTGGAAGTCTGTCACCCTTACCGGCATTAGGACTGCTCCTGCGATACTCTCCTTCATAGGAACGGTCGTCTCGGGAGCGTTTGTCTCGAGTCCTTTCCTCGGAACTGGGTCGGTCTTTACTTCGAGAGCTCACCTTGCTGTTTCCCCGGCCTTCACGCTCTTGGTCCGGGCTCCCGCGATCACGGGAGCTCCTATCGCGTCCATCAGCACTCGATCTGGAACGTTTACTCTTTGTGGGAGTCTCTCTGTCTTGCTGGCGCTTCATATTTTTGCAAAATTCGGCGTTAAAGATGTAAAATGTTCCTCAAACAGAAACCATGGCCGCCATGTTGGGGAAGCGCAAGTGCTTGCCGTGCGGGCTCCGGGCATGAGATTCATCCGCCGAGTAAACAATCAAACTTTCCTCTTCTTTATTCGTGAAAATTTGCAAACAACATCAATATGAATAGGACACAGTGTATACACAATCAACTTCTAGCCTCCACCCTAGCTGCATGTTATGATTACCAAAATATATTGGATAGCTCTACTTTGTTGACAGGCTGCGGAAGTAGAATCAACTAAACACAGTAGTTCGGTCACGCCGTGACGTCAATGTAGACGATCGCAACTGGTGGGAAGGGGGGTTCAGAGCACGTAGTCTTGCAACCTGCTTGATGAGTTGATTTATATGACAAAGTAATTTGCTGTTATCAAAGGTTGAATCGTCAAATCAATGATGTTTCAAATGAGACGTTCTGTATGTTTTCATGTACTGTACGCGTTTTGCAAAAAACTTCTTTGATACTTGTTTGTCTTTTCACTTTAGATATGAAGCATTTTGATAGTTTTTATGAGCTATTGAAATTAAGCGCGAACCAAATGAATTTGTGCTATAAAGGAACGAGAGACTATGGTTTGCAGGGAAACGCTAATAAAAAGGGACTTTTTTTACGTTGGAGCATTGGCATTATGATCATCGCAACGTCCGTTGTATGTAACGTTACCTGCATTTATGACAGACATCACTAGAGGACGCTGAAGGACAGCGCGTGCATGTGTGTAATGCATAAACGTTACATGTCAGACGTGCGGTTTATTTCCTCCTCCGCAAAACAACGGGTAGCCATAGCCTCCTGTGTAGGCCCCGCGGAGGGTGGGAAAGAGTTTTTAACGCGTTATTTTAATGTAGCCGGCCATCCTACTACCAGACATCTTTTTATGAAAAACTTTGGTTTTTCTGTAGATGATCCTGATATTATATTCCTCCTTCATGAAACCACCAATGATCAAACCAAAGGTTTATACATAGATCAGACCATGTTCTTCTTGATCCCGAACATGGAGGTGGAAAACACATGGTTTAATGTATAACCACACGGTGCTGTGGGTGGGGTATACAGGAGCGAAAGGAAAGAAAGAGAGTGAGAGTGAGAGAGAGAGAGAGAGAGAGAGAGAGAGAGAGAGAGAGAGAAGAGAAGAGA